AAACTTTATGATTTAAATGGGGATGATTGTACTGAGGATAACTTTAATCTTTTCTTCAACTGAGTACTGTTTCCGTGCTGTTTTGATGTATTTTAAAGAGTTGGCAGTTAAAATTAAAACTGCTGGATGATAGATACTCTTCATTCTTTATGACAAATAAGATCATGTGAATTACAGAATGTACAACGTTTTTAAAATCTGTAAATTGCGGTGTACAGCATTTATTATGAGGGGGTAGAATCCACAGCTCAGTACTCACTACTCAATACTCATGAGTACTTTTAAATAGGCTACTCTTTTACTCTTACTCAAGTAGTTTTTTGGACAAGTACTTTTACTCTACTCACACTACATTTTTTGGAAGGTAATGGTACTTTTACTTGAGTGTATTTTTTCAGTACTCTTTCCACCACTGCCTGCCACTCCACAGCCCTTTGCTGGAACCTTCTCTTCTGGCCTCCAAAGAGATTCATGCACGTCTGACAAAGAAAAGACTGTGTCAAAAGAAGTTACGACAGTACTTGTTCAAACAGCCACAGGTCAGGTACCCTTTCAGACACACGCACAATTAAGAACCAGTCCTTATGTGACACGGTCTGGACACACTGTTTGCCCTAACCCAAAATACCAGGACTGAAGTGCTAAGATATGCTGCTGAATTGCACACTCATTTCATTTCATTGTTTATCTTGGTAAACAATACCAGTTTTGTTATTGTGCAATGCACTTTATTTACAGTTTATTCATTTACAATACACAATAGCTACTTTTCAGTTATTGCTACTGTTTCAAGTTCAATATACCTTTGTTGTTCTAGTAAAGTTATGCATTAAAGAAGGGTGAACTAATGTTCATTGTGAAGAAAAATTCTGATGTAAGTACATCTAGATTCTAATCTTGTTTTGGGTTTGATACTATGTTTAGGAAAGGGGATGTAGTACATCAATATGTGTGACATCACTAATATATGTAATTACAAGGTCTCTCTCTATATGGCCCCACCCCTCTCTCTTGGGTAGTCGGTGTGCTAAGAATATAGTTGCATGTGATGTGCATGTGTGGTCAATAAAGCCACAGAGTATGAAGCAGGACTCTTTGCCAGTTGATTAATACTATA